AAAAGAAAAAGGCAGAGGAAAAGCTGAGACTCTCCCAGGCCTCCTCCCCCTCCTCTCTGCACTTACCAGGTCAAATTTGAACCAGACCTCAACCTCAAAGCAGCCCTAGGACTACTTTGTTGTGTGTCATTCGGCTAACTGGTTTCCATTATGGTATATACCTTTGACTCTCAAAGTCATCAGTCTTTAGGGTTCATTATGCAAAGAAGAGCAAAGGAAGCTTGTGCCTACTACTTAGTCAGTGGTCTCAAATGGCAAAGACAATCAGGAAAATGGCTCCCTGCTTGGTGCAAAAGGAAGCCGGAGGCTGACTGCTTCAGCAGTCTGATTTCAGGTCTAGGATTTTCAGGTTAAAAAAGAGATGCTACCCTGGTGTTGTAGCACACCTTTAATTGAAGCACTCAAGAGACAGAGACAAGCAGATCTCTGTGAGATCAAGACCAGCCTGGTCCAGGACCCATGCAGGGTAAAGGCTTTCTTCCAGTGTGCATACCCTCAGGTCATACATACACCTCAGCAACCCCTCAGTTATCTAGGTAAGTAACCTCAAAAAATTCATTGCCTCCCCAGTAAAACTTTAATGAAACATTGGCTTCACACTAGAACCTTAAAAGGGAATAAGCATTGCTTAGCGTCCCCAGGAAAAGAAGTTTCACAACCGATGGAAAATTTATTTGTTAATGCTATTATGTCTCATAATTATTTTTAAAAAAAAGAAAAAATGAGAATGTAAAATATGTTAAAAGGATATGGGAATGGATATATTTTCCAAAATACACAGAAAAAATGAGAAAGCCTAAGCAAGTGATGAAGGTCTGTTTAGGTTTGTTATATATAAAGGATGAGACAAAAATAATATACACATAATCTTAAAATTTCTATGGTCATAGTTTAGTCAACTAGTTTAAGGAAAAAAATATAACTCTAGTCAGTGTTTATTTGAGAATATTTGGTTCCATACCTAAGCCTTATCTACATAGCACATGATAATTAAAAGTACCAGACTGGTGGAACTAACCTTATTGGATGTTTAACAGCCATATTTTAGGGTCTATACTAATGTGGTCAGAGGAACTTAGAGGATGGTTTTTGCCCCTTGCCCTACAAGGTCGACTAAGTTCCAGGGGACTATGGAACATCTCTCAAAATGTCCCGTAAATGTGGTGAGTCACCTGTCCTCTTGTTCAGGGAGGACACGGAGACCCCATGAGATAGACTTGAACCAGTGTCCAGTCTACAAAGAGGAGGGTCAACTCAGAGGAAACACCTCATTCATGCTTCCAAGTGAAGCCAGACATGGTTGAACAGGACCTTTGACTTATCTTCACATAGATGGAACTGGTAAAAGAAAGGAGCCAGTAGCTCCTCCCAAGTCCATGTGACCCCCGAGGAACAGATCCTCAAATGAACTTAAGTGTAAAAATAAATTGATTTATTTGGGCCAAGTGTATGGTCTTAAACACCCAAAAGGAAAGTATAACCAAAGAGTAAAGTCTTATTTAGACAATTATTTCTCATTGATGATTTTGTTCCTAACCAGAAAGTGCTGCTCAGATGTAAGACTTCAAATCATGGCCTTCAATACTGTAGTGCCCACTTGTAGCTAAGGGAGACCACCAGCTATTGTCCTAAAATGATGGATAAATTTGTTTTCTCCCCCTATCTAGAAGCCTTTGAGGGAACTGACACTGATTCTAACCACTCCAACAGCTATCAAAATACCTGAAAGCAAATCCTGAATCCATCGCTCTAGAGTCCAGCCTTGGAAGGCCAAAGAAAAATGAGGAAGAACCCATAGAGGGATGTTTTTGGAAGCCCTTGTCAAGAAATTCCAGTGGACTTTCTTGAACATCTGAGAATTGCCCTGTTCTTACTTTTTTCTAGTTCCCTGTCTAGAACTTGTAATGCTAATTACTCTTGCCCTTAGAGATAAGAGGGAATTTGGGAGTCTTTTAGATAGACCCACTGAGGGGTACTCCAACTGCCTCACCCTGCGTCCCTGTTCAGCATGGAAGAAGCCAGAGAGGTTGCGTCCCTATTCCCTATTGGCAATTTGGGCAACCCCTTCAGAAGATGATGTGATAATAGA